AAGGGTCTAGGCCCGAAACGTCAGCCTTTCTGCTCCTATGATGCTGCTTGGCCTGCTGTGTTCATCCAGCTCTGCACCTTGTTGTCTTGGATTCTCCAGCATCTGCAGTTCCTACTATCTCTGGCACAAATGTTAGTGCTGGTGCAGGTGGGGGAAAGATAGTGAGGTGTTTTTATTGAGCGATTAGGCAGCATAGGCACCATGCAGGGTCAGATGGTTGGAGGGATGTGAGCGAGTACGGGAAGATATTGTGTACAATGATGGGAGTGGAAGAAGCACAAGCCTTGTTGAAACCTGGGCCCAGTAGCAGAGACTGACTGAGCGTAGACTGACAGAGAGAAGATAGTGGCACTTAACTTGGCAGAACAGAGAAGATTGTTGACCTCTTTCCTACACAGCTGTGTAGTTCTCCAGGTGGTTGAGCCCACACTGACCTGGCTGGCCAATTCAGACTAAGCTGACAGGCTCTGGTGTCGTGGCCTTGTCGGCTGGTTCTTGTTGGAGGGGTCTGCTTTTCTCTGCACCTTACTGCCCACCAGGACCTTCAGGTCCCTGTCTGCAAAGATGGCCATCAATTTTGCCTTATCTACCATGTTCAGAGTAAACGCTATAAACTGTATGGGGCAAATCTGAACTGACATGAAGATTCGATATTGAATATAAATTGAATATTTCATATTCAAGATGGCAGTGGAGTAGAACGCTTCAGCCGGTGCTTGTCTGCTCCGCCTGCTTCATTCTTCTGTTGTCTCTTTTTCTTATCTCTCTTTGTGTTTCTTTTCCTGTTTCTCCTCGCGGCCTCAGCGCAAACCCAACGAGGCACCCTCCCATCACAGTGTGGTGGCCTCCTTGCCTAGCGTGGGGGCCTTTTGGCAGCCTGCGGCAGTCTCTCGGCCCAGAGTGGGAATCTTTCGGCTGTCCATTACCGTGTCTTGGTGGCTTGTGATGGTCTCTTGGCCTGGCATCTGAGGCGGTCGGTGGTGAGGACAGGGCCCAACATCTACCTGGAGGCTACGAGTGGGTCTGGAGGCATCAGTAGGCAGCAACTTCAGTGACAACAGTGGCAGTGATGGTATCATGGCCCGACACAGGAAGAGCGAGCGGTGAGGGAGGTCCCCTGGCATTTATGGTGGCGACAAGTACAGGCAGCTGAGGTCTCCTGGAGACCGAGCTAAGCAGAGGAGTAGGGGGCTCCAGCAAGCGCTCATCAAAGAATGTTGAACTTTTAACTTTATTCCTTTATTTTTCTGATTTATGTTAAGAAGGACTTTAATGTTAACTATTACCCTAATTTCTTTATTTTTCTACTTATTTTATGAAGGCTTGTAATGCTTAACTTTTCAATTTTGTTTCTTTTAACTACTTTGTACCTGAATGTTTTGTGTCTAGGTACCTTTGTACCAAGGGGGAAGGTGATGATGTAGTGGTATTATCGCTGGACTGTTAATCCAGAGACCCAGATAATGTTCTGGGATCCCGGGTTTGAATCCTGCCACGGCAGATGGTAGAATTTGAATTCAACAAAATATCTGGAATTAAGAATCTAATGGTGACCATGAAATTGATTGTTGGACAAACCCATCTGGTTCACTAATGTCCTTTAGGGAAGGAAACTGCTATCCTTACCTGGTCTGGCCTACATGTGACTCCAGACCCACAGCAATGTGGTTGACTCTGAACTGCCCTCTGGGCAATTAGGGATGGGCAATAAAAGCAGCCTAGTCAGCGACACCCTCATCCCGTGAATGAATAAAAATGTGGCAACATTAGACACTTCTCACTGTACTCCTGTACTTCTGTACTTGAGTGCATGTGACAATAAAACTTAAACCTAAAACCTAATGCATAACAACCTTGCAAATGTGGCTCCATCAGCAGAAATCCTTGGATGTCCCAGCTGTCGGGAAGATATCAGTATATGGCGAGTTGCAGAATCAGGCTAGACTAGGATAAGTGCGCTGCCCTAGGGGAGTGTTGCAGGGTCACTTGGACTGATAGCGTGAGAAAACTCAGTAAGTCCTGTGGAAGAAAACCCCCCATAAAACTTGGAAAAAAAAACATTTAGCCAAATTTTTGGTAAGATACAGCCCAATATTTCAGAAATGGTATAAAAAAAAGACATTCATTGGGATATAAATTCAGATCATTGTCTCCTTGTGGGAAAATTCAATTGAAACTGAAAATACCAAAAAATGAAAGAGTGTTTGATGATTCAGACCTTGACATATTTTAAGATGAAGACATTAAAGAAGTATTCACTCTTCAACTTAACACAAATATATATTTTTGAGGATTACAGAATCAGAACAGACTACTCAGAACAAGAAATAGAAAACCAGCTGTTTTGTCCTCGATGTTGTTTGAAAATCCCAAGCGTTATCTGAGCTGAACTCACTTAGACAATTGGATACTATTCCATCACACTCTTGAATTGTGCCTTGTGATTGATAGGCTTTAGGGAGTCAGGAGGTTCCCAGCCTCTGACCTGCTTTTACAGTTGCATTACTTATGTGGCTAGTCCAGTTCGGTGTGCAGTCAATGTTAACTCGCAGGATGTTGATAAATGGGGATTCAGTAGTGGTAATACTATTGAATGTCAAGGGATGATTGTTAGACTCTCTCCTGTTGGAGATGTCCATTGCCTAGAACTTGTGTGGTCTGAATGTTATTTGCCACTTGATATTCCAAACCTGAATATCGTCCAGGTTTTGTTGCATTTGGGCTGCTTCACTATCTCAGGATTTGCAAATGGTACTTCAAATCCAATAGATATATGATATGAAATAATAGGCGGAATCTACCCAGCCCCTGAACATGCAGCCATGGCCTATAAGTTTTGACAATCTGGTTAGATGTTCAACAGGGAGCTTCTGAATGCCTGAACATTGTAATCATCAGCAAACATCCCTACTTCTGACCTCATGTTGAAGGGAAGGTCATTGATTGAAGCACCTGGTTGGGCCTAGGACACTACCCTGAGGGACTCTTGCAGAGATGACCTGGAACTGAGATAATTGACCCCCAACATCCAGAACTGTCTTCCTTTTATACCATGTATGATTCCAAACAGTAGACAGTTTTCCCTGCCCAACCTGATTCCAATTGACACCACTTGTACTGTAGCTCCTTGATGACACACACTTGATCAAATATGGCTTTGTTAGGGGCTGTCACTCTCACTTCACCCCTGGAATTCAGCTCTTTTGACCATGTTTGAACCAAGGCTGTAATGAGGTCAGGAGCTGAGTGGCCCTGACGGAACCCAAACTGGGCATCACTGAGCAGGTTATTGCTGAGAAGGTGCTGCTTGGTAGTGTTGTTAATGACACCTTCCGTCACTTTACTGATGACCGAGAGTAGTCTGATGGGGTCGTAATTGACCTGGTTGGATTTGTCCTACTTTTCTATGTACAGTATATCCCTGGGCAATTTTCCACATTGTTGGGTAGATGCCAGTGTTGTAGCTTTACTGGAACAACTTGACTCGGTTTGTAGTGTGTTCTGGAGCGCACATTTTCAGTACAGTTGCAGAATGTCATCAGGGTCCATAGCCTTTGAGGCATCCAGTGCCTCCACCTGATATCAGAAAATAACTGGAGTGAATCAAATTGACTGGTGACTGGCATCTGTGATCCTGGGTACTTCGGGAGGAGGCAGCGATAGATCATTAACATGACACTTGCAGCTGAACATTGTTGCAAATAATTCAGCTTTATTTTTTGCACTGATGTGCTAGGCTTCTCCACTATTGATGATAGCAATATGTGCTGTTGTTTTGTTGTCCATCACCATTGAAAACAGGATGATGTGGCAAGACTGCAGAGCTTAGAGCTGCTCCATTGGTTATGGAAGCGCCAAGTCCTGTTTGACATGAAAGTATTCCTGTTTGTAGCATCACCAAGTTGACATCTCATTTTTAGGTATGCCTGATGCTTCTCCTGGCATGCTGTCACTCCTCATTGAACCCCAGATTGATCCCCTGGTTTAACGGAATATTAGAGTGGGGATAAACTGGCCATAAGTTTGCAGATTATGTTGATGTACAATTCTGCTGCTGCTGATAATCTATAGTGCTTCATGGATGCCCAATCTTGAGTTGCTGGATTTAATTGAAGTCTGTCATTTTGCACAAAGATCAGTGCTACATGTCTGAATTGAGGATATTGGGAAGTTGGGACTTTGTCTCCACAAGAACCGTGCAGTGCTCACTGTTTGCAATACTACTGTGGACAGATGTAACTGCAGTAGACAGATGGGCAAGAATGAGGTCGGGTATGTTTTACCCTCTTGTTGGTTTCCTCATCACCTGCTGTCAACCCAATCTAGCAGCAACGTTCTCTAGGACTCGACCAGCTCAGTCAGTAAAGATGCTGCCAAGCCACCCTGGTGGACGTTGAAGCCCCCTACCCAGAGTACATTCTGCATCTTTGGCACCGTCATTGCATTGTTCAAGTGATGTTCAACAAAGAGGAGTAGTGATTCATCAGCTCAGTGGAGCAGTACATGGTAATCAGTAGGTGGTTTCTTTGTCCATGTTTGACTTGATGCTATGAGACTTCGTGGTGTTCAGAGTCAGTGCTGAGGACTCCTAAGGCACTGCCTCCCAAATTTATACCAGTGTAACAGCACCTACTGGCAGGACAGACCCAAGGATGGTGACATTTCAGACATGAAGTGTAAGGTATGGATTCTACGAGTATAGCTGTGTCAGGCTGTTGCTAAACCCCCAGATGTTAGTAGGGAGGACTTTTCAGGGCTGTGTTTGCCACTGTTGTTTCAGGGGCTTTAGTTGATGAAGTTGGGCCATTGGCTACATTTTTTTTCTCTTTCTAGCAGTTGATACAACTGAATGGCGTGTCAGACAGCTGTTAAAAGTCAACCACGTTGTTGATGGCCTTGAGTCACATGTAGTTAAAAGTTAAAGATAGTATTTTGCTTCCCTAACCGATATGAGTGATCAGATTTTTTACAACAATGGTTGCATAGTCATCATTAAACCTTTAATTCCAGTTTTTTAATTGAATTTTCTAATGCTGTAGGTGATGGAGTTTAAACCCGAGTCCTCAGACATTACCAGTGTCTCTGAAATTCTGTCCAGTAGATTGTACTGGTCCGTTACTAATAGACAATGCCACAAGGCCATTGCCTCCCTTAAAATTGAAAACTGAAAATCATGACAAAAAGTGTACAACACAATGCAAAGGAAATGTTAGCAAAACGGATACGACAAATAGACAGCAAGTGGATGCAATATGAAGTACTAGCAATGATGATACAGGAAAGAAATGAAATATACCCGAGTCTGATGAAATTGAAATGAAAATAAAAACATGCGTGTAGGCAAGTGAAAATGTAATGATGTACTGAGGTGTGTGATGAAGCATTGGAGCTGGAAAGAAATCAGAAAATGTGAGTTCTCCTCCAGAAATTGAAATAATTGATAGATAGCAAGGCATAGCAACAGATAGTGGGTGTGTAAAGATGATAAAATCTTGTTTGACAGGGGTGCAGTAGATAAAGGGTGCATAGAATATGTACACAAATTGTACAATGATCCAAACTGAGAAACCCCAAGACAAACAGGCA